TCCTTCCTTCCTTCCTTCCTTCCTTCCTTCCTTCCTTCCTTCCTTCTTTCCTTCCTTCCTTCCTTCCTTCCTGTCTCTCTCTCATGTTCAGTTGCACAAAGGCTACTCAATTTAGTCACTCAGGATATGAGTACAATACCTCTTGATCCATGTCACCCCTTCCATTGTTCCCTCCAAATCCCAGCCAGCCCCTCATTTTAGCCAGTACCATTTGGACATACGTACTTTGAATATTATGTCTGTATTCACCCACTCTACCACCCTTCATTTGCACACCCTTCCCCTTTGTGTACACTCATCCCTTGTCTGACAATCATTTTTTTTCAGCTTCCTGGCATTCTTTCTGTTAAACTAGAAGTTGCTGAAAGGAGATACTCCCTTGCAGTCTTCACCTGCCTATGCTATGCTTTAATTAATGTGTTTTGAATATATGCATATGACCACGTGTATGTTTACTCACACACATAGATATTAATTTATGAGAGAAACATGCATCAGAAGTATTTATACTTCTCTATCTAGATCTGGGATAGTCTGTGGGTATTTTTTTTTTTTTACTAGTGGATGGTCATTGCTTTTCATTTCTGTTTTATTTAGTTTTGAAAGAGGAGGATTCATTATCAGCCTATATTTGAACCAGGGGAGTCATTATCACTGTGCGTTAAGAACAAAGTTAATCGTCTCCTCCTGTGACATGGCTAAACCAGCTTATTTCTCCTGGCAACACTGAGATTCATAAGGCTGGTAACTTGGAATGGCGTGAACTACTTGTGAACTTGGCTCAGGTTTGTGCAGCAGATTGGAGAGTTCTGAGACAGTGTCCGCCCTTGAGGAGTTAATACTCCTGCAGGAAATGTTCAATAAAAATGCCATTGCCAACCAAGGAGTGGACTACAATGTTCAACAAGAAATGTACTCATTACCTTACTTATGTAACTGTAACCCCCCAGTACAGCACCTTTACAATAAAATAAAAATAAAAAATAAATGCAAGTGCCTGTCAGGTACTGGTCACTCACCCCTGTAATCCTAGCTACTCAGGAGGCTGAGATCTCAGGACTGAGGTTTGAAGCCAGCCTGGACAGGAAACTTTGTAAGATTCTTCTTTCCAATTAACCAGCCAAATGCCTGAAGTGGAGCTGTGGCTCAAACGGTAGAGCACTAGCCTTGGGCAAAAAGGCTCAGAGATAGGTGCCAAAGCCCCGAGTTCAAGCCCACAGGACAACCTTCCCCACCCCTCAAGAAGAAGAGAAAAACAGGAGCTCATAGCAGAGAGGAATCACTACAGGCTCAGTTGGGCTGTGATAGCATCCTGGAGAGGCAAGCATTGCTCAGAAGAGAGTAGGATTTTAGGACTTGGACAGAGTGATGGAGAAGTAGGTTCTTTCGGGAAAAGGGATGGGGGAGAGGGAGAGGCAGCAGTGGAATTATGGGTAAGACAAGGCATATTGGAAGGGTCGGGGGTGAAAGGTCTTGATAATTAGTTTGGCTTCCGATTCAGTCCTGGGCTGAAAGGGAACTCGTGCACAGTGGGGGTAATTTGGACAAGGGTGAATGAAAGAATCATTAGCTCAGTTGTGGCAAGAATATAAGAGAAGCCTCAGGGAAGAGTGCAGTACCTCTGGGGCTAGACACAGTGGAGTTGGGGTGTCTAAAACCACCCCTGGCTTAGGAATGGCGAAAAGAAACCAGGAGCCAGAGAGAGAGGGGCCAGGAAGCAGCTGAGCTGTCCATGTTGAAGATCAGTAGGTCTCAACTACTTCAAGTGTGTGCGCATGCATTTCTGTGTGTGATGAATGCCACGGCAGCATTTCCTCTACCCCCAACCCCCTTTGGCTGGTCTTAACTGCAAGACAGAGAGACCCAGGGAGATCAGCTATACAGCTGTTCTTGTTCAGTTTCCTGTGCACAGGTGTCCTGGGCAGGAACTGCGAGTAAGATGCTCAGAAGAACAAGATAGATCTGGTTCTGAGGTCCTGGCCCTGTCTCTGATGATCTGCAGAATCCCAGAGCTTCGATAGAACACAGTCATAACTGCTTGCTGAAAAATGTTTGCATTTAAAGGTACAAGGTGTTATAAACCTACATTAATACTGACACGTTTCCGATTATTATTATTTTTTCTTTCCCTAGTCCTGAGGCTTAGGGCTTGAACTCTGGTCCTGGGACTTGAACACTGGGCTTGGGCACTGTCCCTGAGCTCCTTTTACTCAAGGCTAGAATTCTACCATTTGAGTCACAGCACCATTTCTGGCTTTTTGGGTGGTTCATTGGAAATGAGTCTCACAGATTTTCCCGCTAGGTTGGCTTTGAACCAAGATCCTCAAATCTCAGCCTCCTGAGCAACTAGGATTACAAGCATGAGCCACTGGCATCTCACAATACCACTGCGCAGGACTCAATGTAAGAGAAGGAATATGCCAGGCATATTAATTTAGCAGCAGTATGCAAGCTAGAGAGAAGAGGTTAGGGGTAAGGAACTTTATTAATGAAATCAGAGTTGACATTACTTTCATAAAGTAAGTTAATAATGGTGTTGGCTAGGTTGGTGACAAAGAGAATTAGAGCTAAGAAACAAACTTGAGTATCATGAAGAATTTCTAGGAATTCCCATGGCCAGATTTGTATCTCTCTCTTCACAGTAGTATCTTAAAATTCAGACTGTGAAAAGTTAGAAAAAAATAGTTTATCACTGATCAACCATTTCTCTCTTTTTAAAGCATTTTAGTAAATGTACGTTTCCTGCCCTGTTTTCTTCTTTTTTTTTCCTTTCTGGTTTTACAATTTAGCTTTTCTTTATTTGATATTCAGTTCTTATTAAGGATATAGCTCAGTGCTTCAGTAATTTTGTTTGAGAAATACTAACACTTTATAGAATTCTGAATGAGTGTTCAAAATTCAGATTCTTCTTTGATTGTGTTCAATATTTCTCTGCAACTAATGGTTTTTCCTTAATTCCAAAAATCAAACTTTTTAATCGTTGTATAGCTTGCTTATGAAAACAGTCATACAGGGATGAATTTCTTTATTTCCCCTGCAAACAATGCACCATTTACCTGAGCCTGTAGGGTTCCCCCATTTTCTTCTTATATACTTATTTATCTTTAGTAGAACAAAGGCATAAGATATCTATCAGAATAACTTCCACCAGTCTTGACGGCTGTCATAAAATCCTAAAATCCTTGTACTTACTCCATTAAATGATTTTTTTTAAAGTCAAGAGCACACAGCACTCTATTTTTGGTACATACCTCTCGGGGAAGCTTCTCTGTTTTATTCTCTGCAAAGAAAAAGATAAAAAAGCAATTTTTACCAGAAGATAATGGTAATGGAAGAGCTCAAGTCTATTTCCATTCCTTTCTCCCTTCAACTACACTTCAACCTGCCTGTATGATATTATTTCTCAGAAATCAAGCTCCTGTGAGTTTTATCAGGTATCTCCAGGCATTTCTTTCTTTTTTTTTTTGAGTCCAGTTGTGGGGCCTGAACTCTGGGCCTGGGCGCTGTCCCTCAGCTCTTCAGCTCAAGGCTAGTGCTCTACCACTTGAGCCATAGCGCCACTTCCAGGTTTTTTCTTTTTGTTTATGTGGTGTTGAGGAATCAAACCCAGGGCCTCATGCATGCAAGGCAAGCGCTCTACCACTGAGCCACCTTCCCAACCCCCCCCTCCAGGCATTTCTTAATAACCCTTCTATTGGAAACATCAATTCAAAAGGGGCTGGAGACCCAGGAGCTCTCTGAGTGTTCCTAGGACCCTCCCACAGGCGAGGCTCACCTGCTGAAGAAGATCCAAATGCTCCTTGGAATTGCTGAAGTTTTTCCCAATGTCAAAGAGGCAGAAGGTCTCCTGCTGGCACAGGCTGACCCAGTCCTGGTATTCACCTGTGTCAGGGATGCGGTCCAGAAAGATCCGATATGCCTCCCACACTGCTTCCTGGCACACTGCAACACAGAGTTATCAGAGTAGGGGAGGACTGGGCTTAAAAAGAAACAAAACAAAAACCCTTCCCCCAGGCCACAGGCTCCTAAGAGGCAAAGTTCTTCCATGGTGTGTGTTGATGAATTCATTTACAGTCCATGGAAACGAATTCACTCAGTGAAATATTTATTGAGCACCTGCTATATGCTACACAGAGAGAGGAAGAGCTAGGTGCTAGTGGCTCCTGCCTGTAATCTTAGATACTTGGGAGGCTGAGATCTGAGAATCCCAGTGTGAAGATGGTCCAGGGAGAAAAGTTCCTGAGACTCCAGTTAATCTGGAGTGGAGCTGTGGTTCAAGTGACAGAGCACCAGCTTTGAGTGAAAAAGCCAAGAGAGAGAACAAGGCCTTGAGTTCTTGCCTAGTGCCTGCACACATAAAATAATTAAGTAGAATAAGGAAAGAAACTGGATACTAGTGGTTCATGCCTGTAATCCTACTGAGAGGCTGAGACCTGAGGATCATGGTTTGAAGCCAGACAGGGCAGAAAAATCTCTGAGCTTCTTATCTCTAATTAATCACAAATATCTGGAAGTGAAGCTGTCGCTCAAGTGGTAGGGTGACAGTCTTTTTTTTGGGGGGGGGGTCTGGTCGTGGGGCCTGAACTCTGGGCCTGGGCGCTGTCCCTCAGCTCTTCAGCTCAAGGCTAGCGCTCTACCACTTGAGCTACAGTGCCACTTCCGGCTTTTTTCTTTTTGCTTATGTGGTGCTGAGGAATCAAACCCAGGGTCTCAGGCATGCAAGGCAAGTGCTCTACCACTGAGCCACCTTCCCAGCTCGAGTGATAGTCTTGAGAAAAAAAGCTCAGGGACAATGCCTTAGGCTGTGAATTCAAACCCCAGCACCAGCCCCCAAAATAATCCCAAACAAATCAAAACAAAAAATTACATTGTTATAAAAAAGCTTTATTCCTATCTGCATATTTGTGGAAACCAATATTCTTCACATTAAAATGAAGGTAAGTGAAAGAATAGGGATAAAATGAATCCCATTAAAGTCATTTTCACAATATGCAATATATACAGTGGTTGACAGATATACACCGTGACCCAGTATAACCTGATTGAACCAAAGGCTTAATCTAAGGAAATTTCAGCTATGGGTTTTTCATTTATTTTGGTCCCATCCGAAGTTTGCATTTCCAATTTTGTATTTATAAGCTCCAATACCTACAAAAGCTATATCTCACCCTAAACACACCTGTCAATACACCAAGGAAATTGTCAAACTCATTGTATATTGTTCTAAACAGTAATATATTAAAAGTTATAAATGCAACTGAATTTAGAAGCATTTTCTTTATATACAGAAAACCTATCTACAGTCATGGGAAATACAGCTATGTAATTTCAATGCATGCATCACAGAGAAGGAGTTTGGAATGGCCACTAACAAGTTTAAAGCGTAACAGAAATTACAATGAAACAATTGTCTGAGGGAAATTAGAATGGACTATGGATATATAATAAAAAGGAGTCACGTGACATTTCCTGCTTTATCCTGGTTGTTAGTGGTGGTAATAATGGGAATTGAACTCAGAGCCTTGCACTTGTTCAGCTGGTGCTTTCCCACTTGAGCCTTGCCTCTAATCCAGCTGCTTGCTGCTTATTTTGTTGATAGCATCTCATAGAAATTTCTATGTGGGCTAGCTTCAAATCTTGATCCTCCAAATCTGAGCCTCCAGACGAGGTAGGATCATAGGTGAAGTCACTAGTGCCTGGTGCCATTTTCTACTCTTAAGGAGAGTGTTGTTAAGATAATTTGATGGCTTCACATGAATATTCAGTGGCTGTAGGTTTTCTTCAGGATCTTTGAGAGGTGTGTGTGTGTGTGTGTGTGTGTGTAGTTTTGTATGTGTGCGTGCGTGTTTGTGTGTTTTAATACCACTGTTTTTTTCTGGCCTGAAAGTGTCCCATAACCTGAGAGACCAGAACTCCTTTTGTGATTGGGAGGGCCAGCCTGTGACCTACCAAAGACTCTCCCATTCTTTCTGAGAGAATGACCTTGATAGTGGGAGAGTTTGACAGGTCTCAGGGCAGGGGGTGAGGTGAGAACTCAGCATTGGGTTGCCCCTTTATTTGCTTGTTCGGCCTTATCCTCCTGTGCAGTCTGGGGAGAGAGAGCTGCAGAGACTGCTGGGAAAGCCAGCCCCTGGCCTTCTGGACCCTGATGACATCTGATTCTAGCTGTCCCTCTGTCCCGAGGACACAGAGACAAGTCAGGGGATGCGTGCCTGCAAGTGGGGAGTATTATATGAGCCCAACGGCATGAGAAAGCTTGGAGCAAGGCTGGACACATGGGACATGGAGGGATATACTGGGTGGGTGGGGGTGTCAGGAGCTCTGTTCCTCCCCCTCTCTCCAGGCAGCTGTGTCAGGGCATGGCCACCGCACTGCTGATCTCAGTTTACTTACCTCTACAATGGGAGTATGGGTGTTCTCTTCCTCAGGGCTTCTAGAACTTTCAGCCACGAACAAATGGCCAGTGGATCTTGTTAAAATGCAGAGGCTGACCACACATCTGGGGTGGAATATGAGAACCTGTATTTCTAGCAAGTTCCCAGCTGTGGTTGATCTGTGGGAACTACTCTGAGCATCAAGAATGACTTCATTCCTCTTTAGCCTGCTAAGTGGGACAGCACCTAGCTCTTGATATGCATTTGGAGAGGAAAGAAGGGGGAGAAAAGAGAGACAACACAATCCTGAAGCTCCAGTGTAATCTCTCCAGGAGACAGTTTCTTAGTAAATATTTATTAAGAGGAGACTGCATAGCTGCATTGGACCCCAGAGTTCAGCCTGCAGACAACCAGAAAACAGACTCGTCTGCATGTGTGCTTTGGGATGAGTGAGCGTAGGATTCTACCACAAATCCGAACATTTCCACTCGTGTTGCTTTGGGAAAAGAAATCACTCAATATTCCATTTGATCTAGGAATATGGCAGCTCTCTCCCCCGAGGCTGTTGGAAGATAATTTTGTAAAGGCAACAACGAGAGCAGGAAGCGGACGACTCCACTAAAGAACATTTGCTTTATAGCTAAGTCTGATTTCTTGTTTCTTTGTGAACTAATTTGTTAGACCTGAAAAACCCACAGCTGTAAAGAAAATGGTGGCTCACGCCTGTAATCCTAGCTACTCAGGAGGCTGAGATCTGAGGATCGTGGTTTAAAGCCAGCCAGGGCAGGAAAAGTCCATGAAACTGTTATTTCAAGTAAACCACCAGAAAACTAGAAGTGGCACTGTGGCTTAAGTGGTGGAGAACTCGCCTTGAGCTGAGGGACAGCGCTGTGGGAGAAAAGCAGTGGTTTCTCTTATGCAGAGAGAAAAGAATGAAAGAGACAAAGCTAATTAAGCATAAGAGCTAAGAACAAGAACTCAGGGCTGAAAAGTTGGTTGCAGCAGTAAATTGTCTATCTTCCAAATATCTGTGGCCACTCCTATTTTGTGAATATTGTAAAGAATTAGATTTTATGTGAAACTAGTTAACAACAGTGTTCATATTCAGTAGGATGCAAATAACTCGTATTTGAATGTTTATACTTCTATGCTAAGGCACCATGGAATTTGGCAGTGTCATTATCTGATCAATGTGTAGTTACATTCAAGATGAATAATTTATATGTCACTGTCTTTTCTTTGTATTGCCAATGAATGAGATCGTTGCCTCTGTATCTACCAGTAAATATTTACTAAGAAACTGTCTCCTGGAGAGATTACACTGGGGCTTTAGAATAGTAACAGTGAATACTTCCTTTCTACAACTGGAGTTTTCTCTCTGACTAGGAGCCCACACTTTTCTATATTTCTGTGGGTCTGGCTTTTATCAAAAAGCAAACCACTTTTCACTTCTGAATACAAAGAATCTGAATTGATTTTCTTGGAAAAGTTTTAGCAAGGATTTACTTTACAATAATAGGGTGGATACAGGGAGAAACTGAGAAGAGAAACATCTTCTGTTTCCCACATAGAAAATAGGAGTGGATTATTTTTTTGGAGGGGAGAGGGAGGTAATTGTTTATTAACTATGCCTCCACAGCCAAATAACTCATCAGATTAATTTAGCCCTGTGAACAGGTTACAGAAGTAGATTTCCAAGAAAGTGACTGGCTGTTCATATGATGGAACATATTCTCAATTGTCAAAATGCATAGCATATCATAGGCTACAATGGAACCAGCTTGCTGGGATGGGCTTACAGCCTTGTATGATCAAGGTAGAAATCAGTAAAGTATTCAGCTTCCACATGGAAGATAAATTGAACTTCAGCTTAACGCAGTAAAAATATTTTGAATTATTTGAAGCTACTTGGAGGATTCCAGACCAGCTAAAACACATTATATATATATATATATATTATATTTCTAGTTTTTCTTTTACAGAATAAATAATGTTTTTTTTAGTAAATAAATGGTAAATAAATAAAAAGAACAGTCACTGATGCTAAGTCCTCAGAATTTTCCAGGAACGCTCAATCCTTTCCTGTTATGCTGTTTTGTGGTAAAAACCACGTCTAGTCGCTCCTATCACTCTGAATTTGTGATTCTTCTGAATTCCAACTGCTTCTGGGCTCCCAAACTTCAGAACAGGATCAGCAAGAAGCACACTTATTTGGGCTAGAGAGAGGATAGAAATTGCTAGTGTTGCTTTTGAAACATGATTTGTGTGTGTGTGTGTGTGTGTGTGTGTGTGTGTGTGTGTGTGCTCTGACACTGGGGCTTGAACTCAGGGGCTCCATGTTGTCCCTCAGCACTTTTTGCTCAAGGCTGGCAATCCACTACCTGAACCCACAGCCCCATTTCTGCCTTCTGGGCAGATAATCGGAGTTCAGAGTCTCACAGACTTTTCTGTGGGACTGGCTTCTAACTGTCTCCTATGTAGCTAAGATTACAGGTGGGAGCCCCCAGCCTCAGGCAGATTCTGTGTGAAATCTTAAGTTCTAGATGAACTTGTTCAGATTTTCTAGGCTGTAATCATCTTTCACTTCTGTTGTTCTTTATAAGGGCAGCAAGATTCAAAAGTAGATATTAGTTTACAACAATAGAGTAAGGTGGTCTGACCAGACTATCATAGTTTCCTGTTGATGTCTTAAAGGCCCTAAATGGTCCCCTGTCACCCCGGCATTATTATAAACCTCAAGAGCTGAGCAGGACTATGGCTTTGCAATGGTACAACTCATTCTAGCAGATTAGTGGGTGAGGTGTTGGAACTCCTATGGGTGAATGCAAGACCCTGCAGGTTTTAGGGTGAAGACAACAGATGTCTTCATGTTTGGATGATTGAGAGAGAAGAGATGAAAGGAGTAAAGAACTAATAGTTTGCACTGCTCTCCTTACCTCTCAATCTATAATAAGCTTGAAGACTGGCTACAATCTTCCTCATGGATTCCTGTGGACAGACATGAACTCCAGGTGGGAAGAGTGTCGATCTTTTGGTTCGAAGTTTTGCCAAATCAAATATTCGTCTCATGGTTGACACTTGGAATGGGTTTGCAGTACTCTCAGGCATTTCCATTCTTGGAAAATTGGCTAGATCTGTAGTTTGATATATTTTATTGGAAGTGTCTGTAAGAGAAAAACAGAATTCCAGTGAATATATAAATTTGTGTGATATGGGTGACCTATATGGATAAATAAATGAAATCAATAAAAATTGTAGTTATCCAGTTTATGATATTTCTTCTTCTTTGGTACAAATGCCAACCATAGTATTGCAATGATAAGATCTTTTTAGAAAGAAGAGAATAGTAGGATGAGCTCATAAATATATATAAATATACATAAAATATATATGAGCTTCTTATATATTTAACCTGATCTACATATACTGATGTATGTATATATCTATATCTGATAGACACACATAGAGATGTATATATCTATACCTAATATACACATAACACACATATATATCACATATATTTATATCTGATATGTGTGCACCATATCAAATATAGATACATGCTATATATATATTTATATGTGATGTATAGATCAGATTAAAATATATAATAATTAAAAATGTGCCTGATTAAAAACATATTATACATTTATGTTAATCTGCTGGTACTGAGGTTTATACTCAGGAACTTGTGCTCTTGCCTGGCTTCTTTGTTCAAAGCTAGTGCTCTACCAACTTGAGCCACACCTCAACTTCCAATATATATATATTTTAGAAGAACCAGTATCTTAAATCATCTTTCCTTTAGGAATTGCAAAGCACCAGAGGCGTTTTGTGCACATCTCTGTGAGAATCACTCCCTCTTAGCACTTAGGCATCAATAGACATTGTAATTCATGTGAAGGATGATATAGTAGTGCTACCCAGACATGTACTTTTGATCAGGATGGAATGCTTCTAAAATCCTACGAGGAGGCTAGGTGCTAGTGACTCATGCCCGTTATCCTAGCTACTGAGGAGGCTGAGATCTGAGGATCACAGTTCAAAGCCAGCCCAGGCAGGAAAGTCTGTGAGACTCTGATCTCCAAGGAACCACCAGAAAATCGGAAGTGACGCTGTGGCTCAAGTGGTAGAGTGCTAGCCTTGAGCTGAAGAGCTGAGGGACAGTACCCAGGCCCAGAGTTCAAGTGCATGACAGACAATAAAAATCCTATGAGGAATAATCATAATCATAATAATAAATCCACAGCAAACTCACCTTCCTGCTTACTAATGGCAAAGCTAGGGTTTCTATATGATAGAGCTCAGAGGGTGGTGAACTGTTTGAGAGAGGGTTGGGATTAGGATGAGTTTAGCATTGCCACTAGCTGTCATTTTTAACTCTCTAGTCCCCTCAGATTAAGAATTTACATCACTGAACTTATTTTTTTATAAGTACTCAGTAAAGTAAGCCAGGCCCAGAAAGACAAAGTATACCTACTTTCTCTTGTATGTGCATTCCAGGTGTGAGCTCCTGAGGCCCAGCTGCTGCTGAAGTTAACACTATGGTGTTCATTAGTTGTGAAAGGCAAAGACAGTCAGTAACAGCAATGATACTATAATGTCACTCAACCATTTAAACTGTCTTAGCAGTGCTAATGGCATTCGGGGCAAAGATGCTGTGTTACTCCCTGTAACTGTACTTGATTACCAAGTCCATCCTGAGTTTCTACTCCTATACAGTGAGGCAGGCTAATTCTTCCCTCACAGGACTACTGGACCTTCAGTGACTGAAAACCTGAGTAGCACTTAAACTGATATTGGGTACAGTGTAGGTGCTCAGTAAAAACTCCTTTCTCTGAGGGCTGGGAAGGTGGCTCAGTGGTAGAGGTGCTTGCCTTGCATGCATGAGGCCCTGGGTTCGATTCCTCAGCACCACATAAGCAAAAAGAAAAAAGCCAGAAATGGCGCTGTGGCTCAAGTG